ATGATGTTGTTCTCTCGCTGTGGCTTCGCCTCGAGATGCTGGTCCGAGCGCGCCCCCGGAAAAGGTCCGGGGCGCAGAGGCATCGCTACCTCTTGGCATCCCCGCGAACGGCCGCCGAGGGGCCGCGGCACGGCCGCGGGAGGCCGTCGCCACCCCCCCGAGGTGAGGGCCTGGGCCGCCCTCGGCCTCCGCAGCCCGCGCGGCCCGCCCTCGGCGGCCGCCTCCGAGTGGGCGCCCTCGGCGGCGAGCCGCGCGCCCGGCGACGGCGCGCGCCGCGGCGCGCGGGCCCCGCGGGCCCTCGGCGCGCCTCGCCCGCCGGCGGCGGGCGCCGGCGGCACGGCGGTGGGCGGTGCCAAGGCGCCGACGAGACGCGTGGGCCCAGGCAGGGTCGCGTCGTGCTGAGAAGTCGGGACGGGAGGCTCGGGGCTCTTCTCGGCCCCGGGGGGCCCTCGCCGGGCCTCGGGGCCGTCGACAAAGGACTCGGGACAAAGAACCGGTCCCAGGGAAAGGGTCGGATCTTCCATGGGGCGCCGTCCTGAGCAAACTCAGGACGTCGCATGTCTGGGTAAGACTGGCCTTTCGCCGGAGTGACCCTGTGGTGCGGGCCTAGTGTCAAAGGGGGAGAAGCGGGTATAGCCAGGACCCCAGGTAAGGGGACCCAGTTAGTGGGCCTCGGAGCCCTTACATTTGCCAGAATCACTAAACCAGGTCTGCCGTAGCTGGTGTTTTTTCGGGTGACAGCAGTGGAACGGGCCGGGGGGGGCGTCTCCCAGAACATATCACTAAACCAGGCCCCACTAAACCCAATTCTGCCAACGCCCGAGAGAATCAGCATGAGCATGAACCTTGGGCGTTCCGCGCGGATTTCTTGGATCTGCGCTGGAGCGCCCCATGGCGGCGCGTCCGGCGCCGCCCGTGGCGCGCTCCGCGCGCTGGGGCGGGGGGTTTGGCGCGAATCGAATAGATCCGCGCGGAGCGCCTATAGTTTATGTTTTTGTTGCTTGTTATTATTATATCTTAAGTGCGGGCCCAGTGGGGTCCCCCGATCGCTGGACGCAGAGTGGTAAGTATTGCAGAGGCTTGTGCGCCCGGGTTTGGCCACCCCGCGCGTCCCCCGTGAAGCCGCACACCAAAGATCATTCTTGCCTAGGGTTACTCCTGCGTGTTTCCGAAGATGGGTTGGTGACCCGGACACCCCCTCGCGGTGTGAAAGAATCACGGCGGGGGGGGGTCGCTATGTTTCTCCTCAGGGGGGGCCCCTTACGGGGCCTCGGGGCCGTCAGAAAGCGACTCAGGATAACATTATCCCGGCAAAGCAACCTAACAGCGATGTGTAGGAGCATATTTGGAAGCATTCCCCTTACGATTCAGATGAGAATCCAGTTGTAGAATTCTGCTGTTCTCGCAGTCGTAGTCGCATTCGCGATGACAGTCGCAGTGGCAACGGCAGTCGCAGTCACAGCCTCAGCCTCAGCCTGCCTCAGCCTCAGCCTCAGCCTGCCTCAGCCTCAGCCTGCCTCAGCCTCAGCCTCAGCCTGCTTCAGCCTCAGCTCAGTCTGCCTTCAGCCTCGGCCTCAGCCTCAGCCTGCCTCAGCCTCAGCCTGCATCAGCCTCAGCCTCAGCCTCAGCCTGCCTCAGCATCAGCCTGCCTCAGCCTCAGCCTCAGCCTGCCTCTGCCTCAGCCTCAGCCTGCTTCAGCCTCAGCCTCAGTCTGCCGTCAGCCTCGGCCTCAGCTTCAGCCTGCCTCAGCCTCAGCCTGCATCAGCCTCAGCCTCAGCCTCAGCCTGCCTCAGCATCAGCCTGCCTCAGCCTCAGCCTCAGCCTGCCTCAGCAGCTCAGCCTCAGCCTGCTTCAGCCTCAGCCTCAGTCTGCCTTCAGCCTCGGCCTCAGCCTCAGCCTGCCTCAGCCTCAGCCTGCATCAGCCTCAGCCTCAGCCTGCCTCAGCATCAGCCTGCCTCAGCCTCAGCCTCAGCCTGCCTCAGCCTCAGCCTCAGCCTGCTTCAGCCTCAGCCTCAGTCTGCCTTCAGCCTCGGCCTCAGCCTCAGCCTGCCTCAGCCTCAGCCTGCATCAGCCTCAGCCTCAGCCTCAGCCTGCCTCAGCTCAGCCTGCCTCAGCCTCAGCCTCAGCCTGCCTCAGCCTCAGCCTCAGCCTGCTTCAGCCTCAGCCTCAGTCTGCCTTCAGCCTCGGCCTCAGCCTCAGCCTGCCTCAGCCTCAGCCTGCATCAGCCTCAGCCTCAGCCTCAGCCTGCCTCAGCATCAGCCTCAGCCTCAGCCTCAGCCTCAGCCTCAGCCTGCCTCAGCCTCAGCCTCAGCCTGCTTCAGCCTCAGCCTCAGTCTGCCTTCAGCCTCGGCCTCAGCCTCAGCCTGCCTCAGCCTCAGCCTGCATCAGCCTCAGCCTCAGCCTCAGCCTGCCTCAGCATCAGCCTGCCTCAGCCTCAGCCTCAGCCTGCCTCAGCCTCAGCCTCAGCCTGCTTCAGCCTCAGCCTCAGTCTGCCTTCAGCCTCGGCCTCAGCCTCAGCCTGCCTCAGCCTCAGCCTGCATCAGCCTCAGCCTCAGCCTCAGCCTGCCTCAGCATCAGCCTGCCTCAGCCTCAGCCTGCCTCAGCCTCAGCCTCAGCCTGCTTCAGCCTCAGCCTCAGTCTGCCTTCAGCCTCGGCTTCAGCCTCAGCCTGCCTCAGCCTCAGCCTGCATCAGCCTCAGCCTCAGCCTCAGCCTGCCTCAGCATCAGCCTGCCTCAGCCTCAGCCTCAGCCTGCCTCAGCCTCAGCCTCAGCCTGCTTCAGCCTCAGTCTCAGTCTGCCTTCAGCCTCGGCCTCAGCCTCAGCCTGCCTCAGCCTCAGCCTGCATCAGCCTCAGCCTCAGCCTCAGCCTGCCTCAGCATCAGCCTGCCTCAGCCTCAGCCTCAGCCTGCCTCAGCCTCAGCCTCAGCCTGCTTCAGCCTCAGCCTCAGTCTGCCTTCAGCCTCGGCCTCAGCCTCAGCCTGCCTCAGCCTCAGCCTGCCTCAGCCTCAGCATCAGCCTGCCTCAGCATTCAAGATGTGGCCCGGGAATGGAGTTCTGGGAACTCGAAGAACACGAAGTGGCCTACAGTTGGCTCCGGGCATCCAAAATCATGCCCAGGAATGGAGTTCTGGGAACTCGAAGAGCACGAAGTGGCCTACAGTTGGCTCCGGACATTCAAAATCATGCCCAGGAATGGAATCCTGGGAACTCAAAGAGCACGAAGTGGCCTACAGTTGCCTCCGGGCATTCAAAATCATGCCCAGGAATGGAGTTCTGGGAACTCGAAGAGCACGAAGTGGCCTACAGTTGCCTCCGGGCATTCAAAATCATGCCCAGGAATGGAATTCAGGGAACTCGAAGACCCGAAGTGGCATACGGTTGGCTCCGAGCATTCAAAATCATGCCCAGGAATGGAGTTCTGGGAATTGGAAGACCACGAAGTGGCCTACAGGTGGCTCCGGGCATTCAAAATCATGCCCAGGAATGGAGTTCTGGGAACTCGAAGACCACGAAGTTGCGTACAGTTTGCTCCGGGCATTCAAAATCATGCCCAGGAATGGAATTCTGGAACTCGAAGAGCACGAAGTGGCCTACAGTTGGCTCCGGGCATTCAAAATCATGCCCAGGAATGGAGTTCTTGGGACTCGAAGAGCACGAAGTGGCCTGCAGTTCGCTACGGGCATTCAAAATCATGCCCTGGAATGGATTTTTGGGACCTCGAAGACCACGGAAGTGTGTAACTGTTTGCTTAAAACGACTTCCGCGGCTTCTCCCCGGCACCCGCCTAGACCTCCCTGGGGAGTCAAGATGCTCCCTTTTGACACTACTAGCATCAGTATTCGCTGTTAGGCAAAAAATTGTCCTGACCCATATTCCCCCTCGCGTTGTTCGGCGGCGAGCCCGGGGGAGAAGTGAAAAGGAGACGGCCTTCTCAGCAGGCTCGGAAGTCCCCCCAGCCTTCTGGAAAGTTTTTCCCAGCCTTCCCCGAAGACGCAGGAAGCCTCTCGGACGACCCGGGGGCTTCTGAAAAGCCCCGCCGCCTTCCGAGAAGGCCTTCTCCTAATTCCCCACCTCGCTCGCCGCCGAGTTGTGAACAAAATCACGGCGGGAGGTTTTTCTACCATTTCGGCCTCCGGGGGCCCTCACTGGGCCTCGGGGCCATCAGGCATTGATTTAGGATGAAACACTCGTCCTGGGGAAGGGGTCCAGACCTCTAGGGGTCGGTGTTGCGAAGAAATCACGACGTCGGGGGTCTTGGGAGAGATGGGGGCCTCAGGAAAGGGTCCTGAGGGATGTGGGGCCTGCAGGCAAAACTCATAGTAAGCACGCACGGATGTCCTTAGGGTACCCTTGCGTCCTTGCCTCTGCGGTCCGTCCCTCGCAGTTTTCACTGGCCAGCCCTGTAGGGTGTTGGCAGTCCGCCGCCCAGAAAGTGCCAATTTCGACGTCCAAGGCCCTTGCGTAGGGTGTTGGCAGTCCGCCGCCCCACAAGTGCCAACTTCGGCGTCCAAGGTCCTTGCGTCCTTACCGCCCGTCCTTCCCATAGACTTCGACCGCAGGGATAGGAAGAGCTCCAAGGCGGGATCCACCCTTGGAGCCCTCCCTATCATTGCCCCGCAAATCGATCCCCATCCTCCCTGGCGAGGGAAGGGCTCCAAGGACGGACACACCCTTGGATCCACCCTTGCAGTCCCAGACAAGCGACGTCCTGATTTTTTTCAGGACGGCGTCACTGGAAGTCCCGACCCTTTCCCCGGGACCGGTTCTTCGTCGTGAGTTGTTTGTCGACGGTCCCGAGGCCCGGCGAGGGCCCCCAGGGGCCGAAAAGAGCCAAGAATTTGTCGTTTTGGTGTTTCCCACGACGCGATCCTGTCTAGGGGCACCTCGCCCCCTGGGGCCCCGCCCCTCCGGGCCCCGCCTTCGAGCCACCGAGGCGGGGTGCTGCCTCGCTGGCGGCGCGGCGGCGCTGGCCGCCTGCTCGCTGGCGGCGCGCCGGGCGGCGGGGGGCCGCCGCGCGCGAGCGCGGCGGCGGGCACTCGGCGGCGAGGAGCCCCGCGGGCCCCATACCCCCAACAGAAACAAAGAACCAACGCTCCAGGACTATACCTCATCCTCCTCCTCCTCCTCGTCCTCCTCCTCCCTCTCCTCCTCCCTCCTCCCCCTCCCCTCCCCCTCCCTCTCTCCTCCCTCTCTCCTCCCCCCTCCTCTCCTCCTCCTCCTCCTCCTCTCCTTCCTCCTCCTCGTCCTCCTCCTCCTCCTCCTCCTCCCTCCTCCCTCCCTCCCTCCTCCTCCTCCTCCTCCTTTTCCTTCCACCCCTCCTTTTCCTTCCTCCTCCTCCTCCTCCCTCCCTCCCTCGCTCCCTCCCTCTCCTCCTCTTCCTCCTCCTTGTCCTTTCCACCCCTCCTTTTCCTTTTCCTTCCCTCTCCTCCTCCCAGGCCCCCTCGCGTTGTGAAGACATCACGACGGGAGTTCTTTCGATCATTTCGGTCTCCCGGGGCCCTTATTGGGCCTCGGAGCCGTCAAGCATCAATGTACGATGTAACACCGGTCTCGGGGTCTAGATCTTTGGGCTCGGTCTATTGAAACAATCACGACGTCGAGGGTCTGGGTACTTACTCGCCAGATGGTGAAAGTAGATATTTGTGGACTCCCAGAATCAATATTATTTTGTTGTTTATGTTATCATGCGGGCGTGCCCGGACATGGTTCTTCCTATCGGCCACGCGCAGATGGGGGTAATTAGGGGGAGGGGGATGGCTTCTTCGAAGCAGCCTCCTTCTAAGACTAGAAGCCTTCCCCCCTCCCCCCACGCCCTTGTGCGCGCCGCCAAAGGAGGTGGGGTATGGTCGCCTCGGTTGGGAAGAACTGGGCATCTCTCGGGCTTGTGCATGTTTCCCCCGCCGAGGATTATCGAGGCTCATCTCGGATCGTCGTGCGGAGAAATAGACACACGAAATCGGAAGATGTGTGGGGAATGGGCGTCCGAGCGATAGCAGGAGGCGGGGTGTGCCGGGTCGGGAGAAGGGGGGCGTTCGAGGTTTCGGGCGATTCCTCGTTGGTTCTCGGTGGTTTGCCAGCCTCGGGGTGCTGCTTTCCAGCAGCTGCGCCTCGCCGAGGGCGCTCCGAGGGTGCCCGACTCGTTCCGAACGGCCGCCTGAGACCCGAGTTACGTGGCGAATGCCAGACGACGACAATCACTCGGGGGGGATAGGGAGAGGATGGGTCCCGAAGTCTGCCGCGTGCAGCTGGTTTGAGCCCCGCCGCTGGGCGCTTTCCCTGATCTCGTGCGTTGGTTCGCCAACCCCGCTTACTGCCCCCCCGAATTGTCGCCGGACCCGGTAGCCGCACAGCCGTGCCGTCGCAGCGTTCGCCGGTAAAGCGGCAAGCCGCGACCCCGAGGTAGAGCAGCAGCAGTCTTGCAACACCCTTGGAGCTCCAGGGTGGCTCCAGCCTCACAGGAGAGACCCGTTGGGCCACCGCGAGGGCGATGCCTTTGTGTCTGGGTGTTCGGCGGGTTCGCGCCGTGTCGACGCGGTGGCGGCCTCATCGACGAGTAGAAAAACAGGAGGGACAAGTAGGCACAGACTCACATAAGCGTGGATGCCCATAAATTTATGGGAAAATGTAGGAAGTGGAAGAGGGACGAAACTCCAGAAAATATGCAACAACATGTGGAATCCTATGATTGGTGCGTATGTGTTTGTTTGTTCCTGGGCCCCTTCAGAAAAAACGGCGGCGATGATGTCCAAATCTTACCCCCGCATCCCAGCGATTCTGGAGAATTGATAGATGGGGGAAGGGGGGGTAGAGTTTGGATGTCGCCGCTTATAAATGGCATGGACATACACTGTCGGCGGGCCGCGCGGATTTCCTGGACCTGCGCTGGGTCCACTTGACGGCACCTCCAGCGCCGCCTATGGCGCGCTCCGCGCGCCATGGAGGGTTCCAACGCCGATTCAAGAAATCCGTCCACGCGGAGGATGAGGAGGAAAACGAAGAGGGGGAGGGGGAGGGGGAGGGGGAGGGGGAGGGGGAGGGGGAGGGGAGGAGGAGGAGGAGGAGGAGGAGGAGGAGGAGGAGGAGGAGGAGGAGGAGGAGGAGGAGGAGGGAAAGGAGTAGGGAAGGGAAGAGGAGGAGGATAATGTTTATGCTCATGTATGTTCGCGTTCTATCCAACCTCGGGCGTTTTAGCTTTTGATCGCCGTCGGTGGCCCGGCATCGGTCGAAATCGAGCGGTTCGCGCCGCCGGTGGACGCTGGTCGTCAAAGGTTGAACGATCCACACGGTGTTGGAAGCCAACACCCAAGTCGACATTCGGGACGATCGATATGGGTATCGAAAGAGTGGGTGCGATGCCGAAGAGCAGTCCCTGTTAATTTTGAACAGGACTCGCTGTCCGCGCCGCCGCGGACGTTGTGTACTGAAGACTGAAAGCCGCCTGCCAAACAGCGGCCGTTGTCGGGTTTTTGGCAACACTTACTCCTGGGCATTGTACTCATGTTTCCCGTAACCATTGCGGGCGTCCAGAGACACGACACCAGGCGCACACAGGCGTATTTTGGAGAGGGACCTTGGGGGCCCTCCGCGGGGCACCTGGGGGCCAGGTACAGTCGGACCGAGGTACAAGATCGAGGTCGGTTCGGGGTGGGTACCCTCGTCTTCTTCGTGTTTGGTGGATGTTCTTGTGCACCCTGGGGGAGGGTGCCCTTGGATGTTCTGTGCGTTTGGGCCCACGGAGGGTCCCAAGTTCTTGAGGGATGTTCTTCTGGCCTAGGTCCGACGGTGATCATCAGCGCACAGAGAAGCTGGAGCCGTGGCACTCGCGACGCTTCACTGGGGGTGTGTCGACCAGTGGGAGCGCTTGGCCACTACAATCGGGCCGTTGAAGAAGGAACCTTTTTCGTTGGGGAGTGGCTCAGTGTTCGTCAGTTGTTTTACGGCTTGTCTTGGGTCTTTTTTATTCTGAGCATTATTTTGGTGGAGGGCAAAGGGTGAAATCTGAAATGCCGTTTCAATTGATTTTCGCGGCTTGAATCTGCAAAAGTTGAATCACAAGACGGATTGATTTTCGAGGTGCAAAAGCCCAGATGGTTTTCACCCTGTGTCCACCACCCTAAGAAAATGCTCAGTTATGGGTGTTCTACGGGAAGTCGAAATCTGATGTATGGAAAAAAGGAGCTTTGCTCTGATCTGGAACGGACTTATCCTGAGACATGCCGTCCTGATTTGTTCAGTGCGGCGTCCCCGGACAGCCCAACCCTTTCCCCAGGACCATCCTTTCATCCCGAGCCGTTCTTTTACGGTCCCGGGGCCCGGCGAGGGCCCCAGGGGCCGAACATGGCGAAAAACCTCCCGTCGCGATGTGTCATGCTCTCCCGAGTAGAAAAATGATCCCTCTGACAGCGTTTTGCTTGCACTAAAGTACAAGCCTTGGGTTATGTTGCCCCCATCGCACTTCAGGACCACATCCCAGAAATAATTTCGAGCACCCAGAAACAGTATCAAAACAGTATCGGGTGATTATCGCCGCCCAGGGCCCGACACGTGAAAAACCCTGCAGATTCGGTACTTTCCTGGTGCTGGAAATTCTTTCTGGTGGTCAGAGCTTGCAGTGCCGTTTTTTATACATGCTCTGCGTGCGGATCATGGATTAAACATGCAGGGAAGTAGCATACATAAAATTACATACATGTATTCATAAAATTCATACGTATTCATTTGTTCGATGAGTTCAGGCATACATGTATTCATAAAATTAACCATGTGTTAAAATCCTACATGGTTTAAAATCCTATGTATTAAAAACTACCCTGAAGGCTGGAACACCGTAAGCCTTCGGAGGCCACTCCGCGCCGCCCTCGGCGCGCCTCGTCGCTCTCCGCGCGCGGGGGGCGTCGGGGGCCCCGGCGCCGGCCCGCGAAGTCCGCGCGGGCCTCCGGAAGCCCGTGCTCGTGATCTCTCTGCTCTTCCGAGCGCCCAGACCTGGAGGGCTTCTCCGAAGGGCTTAGGTTACCTGTCCTCCTCCTCTGTCCTCCTCCTCTTTTCTCCTCTTTCCTCCTCCTCCCCCTCCTCCTCCTCCTCCTCCTCCTCCTCCTCCTCCTCCCCCTCCTCCCCCTCCTCCTCCTCTCCTCGGATCGCTTGCGGCCCCGGGGGAAACCGTCCACCCAGACCTCCACGCGTTGTGACATGACAAACACGACGATGGGAGAAGGAGAAGGCCTTCTCAGAAGGCTCGGAAGTCCCCCCAGCAATCTGGGCAGTGTTTTCTAAGCTTCCCCCGAAGACGCAGGAAACTTCTCGGAAGGCCTGGGAGCTTGCCCCGCCGCCTTCTGAGAAGGCCTTCTATTTCCCCCCCTCGTTCGCCGCGGAGTTGACAAAAAATCACGGCGGGAGGTTTTTCGACGGTTTCGGCCTCCAGGGGCCTTCACCGGGCCTCGGGGCCGTCACAAAACGACGCAGGGTGAGAAAGCGGTCTCGGGGAAGGGGTCCAGATTTCTGGGGATCGCAGTTGTGAACAACTCGCGGCGTCGGAGATCTGGGAAGGAAGACCTGTACGAGCTGCTTGGCGTGAGCAGGGGCGCGAACGAGCGGGAGGTCAAGGCCGCGTTCAGGCGGCAGGCCAGGAAGTGGCACCCCGACGTCAACAAGGAGCTTGGCGGCCTGAGCTGCGCACATGCCACCGCTCCCGGCCAGGCCCCTCCCTGTGCCCAGGGGCGAGCGTGCTCCCAGGTCTCCGACTGTATGCTGTGCTCCACTGGCGGTGGTTCCTCGATTCGGCCCCTACAGGTCGCCATGGGGGGAGCGGGTCCCGCGGGGAACGTGTCCTGAGGGCTTTCGCCGTTCTCGGGCTCCCGGGGCCCTCCACAGGCCCCGGGACGGTGAGGAAGCGATTCAGGACGAGAAGCTCGTCCTGGGGGAAGGCCCCTGGGCCCGGATCCCGCTTCCCACGGGACCCGTGTCCCCCGTGCTGCTGCAGGGCCGACTGTCGGGCCCCAGGATCAACAAAAACAAAGAAGGGGCGACGAATAACCCCCAGGGGAAGCGGTCGGGACCTCTGGGCTCTGGGGCCGCTGGTTGTCGGTGGATGCCAGGGCTTGCCTCCTTGGCCGAGCCGATGAGGCGTGCGCGCCGTCTTGGGCCCTGGTGGGGTATGGCCACGGCAGGTGCATGTGCGGGTTCCTCCGCCTCGAGAGGAGAAGGGGGCGGAGGAGAGGTTCCAGGCGATCTCGAAGGCCTACAAGGTTCTGTCCGACGGTGCGAAGAAGCAGCGCTACGACCGGTACGGCGACGCTGGCGTGCAGGGCGAGGCAACGGGGCCGGCCGAGCCAGACCTCAACGCGGTGAGCGTCGAGGAGATCCTCGGGGACGTCTTCGGCAGCTTCTTCAGGGATAGGCCCGGGAGCCACCATGGCGACGTAGGACCGAGGGGCACGAATTGGCCACCTCGCCGGCCCTGGCAGGGGCCCGTTCCTGGACTGCAGGGCCGGTGACCATACGCCTGCCCTGCTCGGCCAGGGAGGCGCACACAGACAGTCGGCATGAAATGGAGGGAGTCCTGAGGGAAGCTAGGGGACCTTCTCACAGGACCAGTTCTTCATGCCAGGCCAGTGGTTGGACAGCCCCTTCGAGGGCCCCCAGGGCCCCCAGGGCCACGAAACAAGCTCTGGGCTCTAGGACAGTACACGCCAGTCGGAGAAAGTTAAGTATGGATTCCCAAATCCCAATGTACTTCAGGCGCCTTCCTACCTCAATAATCGGTATGCTTTTGTTGTTTCTGTTATTCTCCGGGCGGGCCCGAATCTAATCTACTTTATCCGCCTGCCTGCTTCATGGTTCCACGGATCGGCCACGCGCAGAGGGAGTATGGGGAGGAAGGAAGGCTTCTTACAAGCAGGCCGCTTCCTTCTCAGAAGTCACGGGCCCTGTCTAGAGATGTAAGGCCAGTGCCTTCTAAGTAGCAGCCTCCTCCTATCAGGCGATCGCTAACATGGATTGAGGGGGCGTGGACTAGCGACGGGTCCCGTTTCCATGGGAAATCGTGGATTTCCCCCGCCAAGCGAGGCGGCACCGGCCGCATTTGGGGGAGGGCATCTCCTCCGATCCATGGATTTGGCGACCGCGCGCCAAATCCATGGATCGCTAATCCATGTTTGCGCGCCCCCGATCGCCTTCCCCCCTCCCCCCGCGCCCTTGCGCGCGACGCCAAAGAAGGCGGCGTGTGCTCGCCCCTGGTGGTGGGCAAATTTACCACCACTACTACGATGTGCAGGACGGGGGAGAAGTGAGGATGAGGAAGTCCGCCTCCTCCTCCTGCATATGGTAGTGGGGGGTGTAAAATGGGCCTATCATCTGGTGGAAAGAACTTGGCATCGCTCGGGCCTGTGCGTGTTCCCCGCCGGCGAGGGCCACCGAGGAGCCTCCTCGGATCCTCGCCCAGAGAAAGAGAGAGAGAGAGAGAGAGAGAGAAACAAAAAAAAAAAACACGCGACACCGAAAGGTGATCGTTTTCTTATTCCTTGTTTTGCCGATCGGCGCGGGCCACCAAAACCCCTCCCCCCCCCTTTAGTGGATCTTGGCTGTTTTTGGCAGCTGTTTCGAGCGGGTGAAGTCCCAATCCCATAGGACCCACTGCTGCAAACAGTCGCACTAAGCAGAGGTCCGGAGCCAGACCGCCCCGCCCCCCGTTTCCGCCCACTGTCGAAACGCCGAAAAATAACGCTCACGTGGGGAAGTACGTCCGAGCGGTGGCAAGAGGCGGGGTGTGCGTGCCGCCGAGCCCATTTCTTTCGACTGGCGGTGTTATCATCGAAGGAGAAGACACGCCATAAACATACAAGGTTTTGGCGCTCCGCGCTGATCTCTCGGATCCGTGCTCTGCCCCCCTGGCGGCGCCTCTGGCGCCGCCCCGCGCACCAGGGAGGGGGGTCCAGCGCAGATCCAAGGAATCTGCGTGGAGGCGGGGCGTGCGCGCCGCCAAGCCTGTTCCTTCCGACTGGCGGTTATCAGCAGAGGTAAAGAGACACAGACGTGTTTTACGTCGCAGGGCGGCAGAGGCGGTCCGCACGCGCGCTCCAGCGGGCCAGGCAACGGCAGAGAAAAACGCAGACACGAATACAAGCAGAGCCCCCCAGAAATTATTCGAAACGATAGGGGATTCGAAAGGAAAACGAGCATCCCAAAACAATACCAACACATATAGGATCTATAATGAGACATCCTGGGTTGTTTTGTCTAACCGAGCGCCTCGGATAATGAGGCTTGCTCCCCCCCTAACCCTTGAGAGTAAATTGTTCCGGGCCAAGACAGATTTGGTCGAGGGAGAAGTGTGGCGAGGCCGATCTTCATTATCGTTGGGGAAGGTACGAATCGAAGTTGCGATCTTCTTATGTTGAGTAGCAGCACTATCACGATCGTGTGGCAGGGCGATGTGATTCTCACCATTTCCTTCCGCTTTGCTAACGAACGTGTTGCAGGGCTATGGAATTCTCACCATTTCAGCTTTCCAAGCGAACCTGCGGCAGGGTCATGGGAATCTCATCATTTCATATTTTCCCAAGCCACGAACGTGCAGCATTTCTGGGAGACAAGTTGACTATCCCCGCACGAATCCCGAACTTTCTTATTCCCACCCCGTGATTATCAGGGGCGCAGGGTTACTTCTTTGTGTGCCCCATGGGTTATGGTGTTCCAATCTAGTTTTAACCTTGACCACCAGAAAGAATTTCGAGCACCACTAACCGCATGCCCCCGATAATATCCCCCCTTAACGACTGAGAGTTGATTATCCTGGGCCAAAACAGGTTTGGTCAGGGAAGAGAGGTGGCAAGGCCGAACTTCATCATCGCGGGAGAAAATTGCGAGTCGAAGTTGCGATCCCCTTCTGTTGAGTAGTAATGAGTCCTAAGGATGCATGTTGATTCCCTACGGGCTCCGATGGATGTCCCAAGGAATCCCATGGATATCCAAAGGATTCCGATGGAGTTCCTCGGGAAATCGATGGATGTCCTAAGGGATCGTATGGATTTCCTTAGGGGTCCTGGGGATGTCTTCAAGAATATTATAGATTCTTTATGCTGAGACCTCCGGGAAAACGTTTATGATCCCGCCTGCACCCCGAACTTTATGATCCCCAGGGGGTCATTATCGGGAGCAGTTTGTTCAATGTACCACAACTGGAGGTTTTTCATGGGTCGGGCCCTGGGAGGCGATACTAGTTCGACATTGTTTCGATACTTTTCTGGGTGCTCGGAATTATGGTTGGGATTCCCCATTCAGTGATTGCACTGAAGGGGTCCTAGCGAAAATTGAAAGATTTGGCGAAAGTTTCTGATTTTGGTAGCCGGCCGGGTTCCCGGTTCCAGATTCCCGGGTTCTTGGTTATTGGTTCCGGTCCGATTTCGATGGGTTCCGGGTTCTTGGGTTCCCCGTCGATCTATCTCTTGATCGATCCCATTTCAAATTATCCAGTGATTGGGTTTTTTTTCTCTGGTGTCATGTGGCCCTTGAGTGCGATGGGAGCGACATACCCCTTGAGTTCCGCACCCCCTTTGCGCAGATGGGGAGAGGCCGTCCCTGGGCCCCCCCCCCGGCGGGGGGCCCCATCCGCGGGGCGGCCGGCCCCGCGCCCCGAGGTCGGAGGGACGTCGGTGTCGCTCGGACTCCTCGGCGAGGGAGGGCGGGGAAGTGAGATCCTCTTCGGTTCTCGATCCTCCTCCTCGTCCTCGTCCTCTTCGTTCTTCTCGTCCTCGTCCTCGTCCTCGTCCTAATCCTCCTAATCCTCCTCCTCCTCCTCCTCCTCCTCCTCCTCCTCTCGGCGGCGAGCAAAGGGGAGGGACATCGAGAAGGTCATAAGGCGGCGGGGCTTCTCAGAAGCTCTCGCGCCTTCTGAGAGGTTGCCCAAGTCTTCGGAGAAGGCTTAGAACACTTGTCAGAAGGCCCGGGAACTTCCGAGCCTCCTGAGAAGGCCCGCCCTTTCTCTTTCCCCCCGGGCGCGGCGCCTACGGAAGTGTGTATTTTTCTCGGCGCGGATCATCGAGGATGGAATCATAATCAATGACATAAACATAAATTTCGGGCGCTCCGCGCGGATCGCTTGGATCCGTGCTGGGCCCCCAGGGCGGCTGCGCTAGGGGTGTGTGTGTGGCGCGGATCCAAGAAATCCGCGCGGAGCGCCAAAAGTTTATGTTTGTAGCGTTTTTCTTTCTTCTAGTCAATCGAGGAGCGTCCTGGATGTCAAGCAGAAAGACACGCACGAAACCGAGACATGCACGTGGAAGGGCCGTCCGGTTTCCACACTTGTTAGTAGTTCGCCGAATCTACGCAAACACATAGAATGTTCCATAGGCCTACAGAGCAGGTTCTACGCCTCGCTGGTAGATGCGACCGAGCACTCAATTCTGGAATCAATCAATCTTGTAGTCGGTCTCCTACAGTCGGGCCGCTGGAAAAGGAACCCTTTCCGTTGTGGAGGGGCTCAGGGTTCCTTGCGCAATTATTTTACCTGAGCTTCTCCTTAGGTTTTCTATGGGAATTCGAAGTTGAACTTAGGGAAAAAAGGTGCCTCGCTCCTTCTTGGTGATCGTTTTTGTATTCATTGTTTCGCCGGTCGGCGCGGGCCCTCGCCCCCCCCCCTCCGCCCCTCCCCCCTGGAGTAGATCTTGGCTGATATGGGTGCCTGTTTCGTCCAGGTGGAGTTCCCCCAACAGGGCGCACTGTTAGCAAACAGCCGCACTGAGCAGAGCTCCAGAGCCAGACCCCCCCCCTCTCCCCCCCTTCCGCCAAACGTCGAAATGCCGAAACAAGAAACGCTCACTCGAGGGTTCCTTACAGTCGGCCCAGATTGGTAGGTCGCCCCCTGTCAGCCCTGTGTCCTGTGCCTCGCGACATGTGCCTTCTCACGTTCCATCGGCGATGTGGCCTTCGGAAGGGTCTTGTGTCCTCCCGCGTGTCCTCTCCAATCAAGTCCGACTGTATGGCAGCGTTTCGACTCTACTCGAGGGGGCGGCGCGAGTGCCAGCGGCACCGGCGCGGCGCGCAGCCGGCGGGGCACCGAGCAGGGCCCGAGGCACGGCGCCGACCTGCAGTGCCAGGCCTCGGGGGGGGGAGGGGGTGGGCGGATAGACCTACCCCGACACGTCGATCAGTGAAGTGGCCGTTTTCGGTTCGCGAGAGGGCGTCGTGGCCGTCATTTCTGCGGGTCCAGGTCCGTCGGTTTCGGCCCCAGGCCGTATTCCTGAAAGGGAGGTTTACTACAGGGAGGCTGGTCCACCGCCGAGGGGTGGGGGTCGACTCGCGAGCTGATGGCGACGGTCAGGGTGTTCCAGCCTACTGTTCGGGTGTTGCTAGAAGTACCCCTGGCCCAAGGTGCCCCCAGGATGTCCAAGGAGGCCCCCACGGCCTCCAGGGCACCCCTCACGAGCCCCAGAGAGCCACGGGGACTCCAAAAGGGAGCGAACAGCTGGGGGCACTTTGGGCCAGGGGCACCTCTAGCAACCCCCGAACTATTCGGAGGAGGAAAAGGTACCCATACGTAGGGGAACGAACAAATGGCATGACCATTAAAACTCGGTGGTCCGCGCGGATTTCTCGGATCCGCGCTGGACCCCCGTCCCTGGCGCGTGGAGCGCGCCAGGGGCGGCGCCAGAGGCGCCGCCAGGGGGTCCAGCGCCGATCTGAGAAATCCGCGCGGACCTCCGAGTTGTTATGTGTATGTCATTCTTCGTTCCCCCATCTGTTTCGGAGGAGGACAAGGTATCCATACCGCCACCCTTCTCTCTTCCCTCTTTCGCCCTCCTGGGAGGCCCTCGTCGCCACCGTTGGATTCGCCTCGAAATTCTGGTCAGAAGGTACCCCGGGGGAGGTCCAAGTAGTAGCGGTGTCGGTACTTATGGTTTCCCCAATTTAAGCCTGAATCAGCAGCAACATATTTCGAGTACCAAGAAAGCACCGATCTTGGAGGGTTTTCACGTGTCGGGCCCTGGAAGGTGATACTCGTTCGACACTTCTCCAGCGTGTTGGGCAAATACGGTTTCGTTTTTTTTTTCTGCGTGCTCGACATTATGTTTGGGATGGGGTTGAAGTGCGATGGGGGCAACATGCAGTGGGGACCCATGCCAAGAAACACCTTGCTTGCCTCCAGGGTGCCCTGGGTTTCTGGGGTTTCGGTGGTTATGTGGTGGAGAGCGCTGTGTTCCCGCACTCAAAAAATCAGTGAACGCCCTGTGGTTTCAGGGTTGGGTTTCTTGTGTGGAAGGTTTCTTGCGGACTGGCCTCCGCTGTAACGACGGTGAATTTTCGCTATGTTTGTCGGCCTCCGCAGGCCCCCGCGGGGTCTCGGGACCGTCAAAAAGCGATCCAGTATGGGAAACTTGCCCGGGGGAATGGGTCGAGAGTTGTTATCGTGTGTTGATTCGTTGTTTTGCCGATCGGCGCGGGCCCCCAAACCCCCCATCCCCCCCACCCCATGGAGTAGATCTTGGCTGTTTCTTGGCGCCTGTTTCGAGCGGGTGGAGTCTCCCCAAGAGGCCGCACTTTTTCAAACAGTCGCGCTAAGCAAAGCCGAGATCTGGAGCCGGACCCCCCCCCCTTGCCGCCCAATGTCGAAACGCCGAATAAAAAACGTTCACCTTCTGGGGGTAGACGAGATGACAAGATTATGGCGTCGGGGCCGACCTGCAGTGTCAGGCCTGCGGGACAAGACCCATACTGGGGGACAAGACCCATACTTGAGTCTCCTGGGCGGCCCTCGTCGCCACCGCTGGATTCGCCTCGAGATCCTTGTCAGAACGCACCCCAGCAGAGGTCCGGAGAGTAGCGGTATTGGTACTTGTTGGTTTTCCCAGAAAAGACCCGGGTGCCGACTCACAGTGCCAGGCCTTGGGGGGCGGAACGATTCGGGCGCCGAGGAGGGTGCCAAGCTATGTCTCTCGAATGGGTTCGAAGTGGATGGGATCGGGAGATCGCGCCACATCGCCGATGCGTCGGCGATGCGGTTCGATGTGGATCCCGACGTCCCCACCCGACGTCGCCAAAGCGGCCCGATCCCCTGGCCCCATCTACTTCGACCCCATCTGGGAAGCCTCTAGAGAACGCCCACCCAGTCTAGCCGACGGCATCTGCACCAGTTCACTCGACATCGACAGCCGTGAAGCTCCCTCGCAACTTTCACTCAAGGGCTTTTTACTACAAGGGGTTTTGTCAATCCTTGAAAGTCGGCACGAGCATGAACGTTCGGAGTTCCAGACCTCATGTCGGGCAAGCGAGAGGGTTAATTTAGGGAAAGCGGGGGTACGAAGTTGTTGCATGGCATGCAGCTGGTGTCGGGCCCGCCCCCTGGGCGCTGTCCTCCATATCAACGCCGTCGCCGACGGCCTTCCGACGGCCGCCGTCGGAAGGCGCCGGGAAAATCAGCTGCGCCAGGTGATTCGACATGCTTCCCTGTGCTACCGCTTCACTCTCGTCCGACCCGAGCATCCCCAAATGGGCCGGAGCAGACGGGGGCGGAGGAACTCGCCGCATTGCCGATGCATCGGCGATGCGGCGCGATCGGCGCAGTCTTCGGGAGGTCCGCGCGGACCTCCGAAAGTCTGTGTTCATGTTTTGGTGGTGTTGTCGTCCTGCAGGTCGTCTTCCCCTTGAAGGCCGCGTGCTTCGGGGGTGACAGGTCTGTGAGGATCAACCGGAAGGAGAGGTGCGGCAGCTGCATGGGCAGTGGCCTCAAGGAACTAGGCGGCAGGAGCACCTGCAGGAGGTGCCGGAGGGCCAGAAGATCGGGCCGGGCAGAAGGGGATGGATCGTGAAATTGGCAGACGACAACTCTTCGAGTAGGGGACCGACTACACAATTGAGATGCCCCAACATGATTCCCCGTCGAATCCACAAACAAAAAAACGTGGAATGCTCCGTACATCCACAAGCATCATACGCCTGGTGTTCGTAGCTTGGACGAGCAACATTAGTTGGGGGTGGACCAATTATTCAGTCGATCTCCTGTTCGAAATCTGCATAAGAAGCATCATTTTCCGGAGGTCCGCGCGGATCTTTTTGACCAGCGCTGTGAACCGCCCTGCCTGGTCGGCGGAGCGCGCCAGGTGGGGCGGCAGTGGCTGCGCCGCCTCAGGGGGTCAGAGCCAGCCGAAGGAATCCGCTCTTGGGCCTCCGGCAGTGTTCGCTGATGCGGACCCCCTCGCGCTGTTAAAGAATCACGGCGGGAGTTGTTGCGCTTTCTGTGGGCTCAGGGGAGTTGGGGCCACCCTCTCACTTGGCCTCGGACCGCCCAAAAACGACTCAGGATGAATCACCGATCCAGGGGAAGGTGCCCAGACTTTTGGGGGTCGACGTAATGAACATGTCTTGGGATGCAGATCTTGGGGGTCTGGGGTCTGGGGATGCAGATCTTCTTCGTCCAGGAACATGTCAACCACCCGCAGAGCGCGGTAGGGCGGAGGGGGGAAGGCTTCTGAGTTGAGCGTTTTTTTGTTGCCCTCCCTAGGATAACGGTGGCTACCCAGGCCAAACACCCCTCCGTGGATAGCGGTAACGATCGTTCCCGGGGGGGGGGGAAGGACCCCCCCTACTGGCTGTGGCGCGCACAGGCGATTGATGCGCCGGTGGCGCGGGCGCACTCTGCCGTTACCATTACCCATCCTTCCGAATCCTCCCCCCTGCTGGGTAACGATCGTTACGCGGGAAAGATAACAACAAACCGTCACGAGAAGCACCCGTGCCTCTCAGAAGGCGCGGGCCTTATTTGTAGATGTAAGGCCGGCGCCCTCTATGAAGCAGCCTCCTCCTAAGAAGCCTTCCCCCCTCCCCGCACCTCCTTCTGCGCGCCGCCAGAGAAGGCGGGGTGTGCTCGCCTCGGGTGGGGAGAATGTGGCATCGCTCGGGCCCGTGCACTCTTCCCCTGGCGAGGACCATCGAGAAGCATCTTGGATCCTCGTTCGGAGAGAAACGCACTCGACATCGAGAGATGCATGGTAGGGAAAAGACGTCCGAGCGATGGCAAGAGGCGCGGTGTGCGCGCCGCCAAGTCTACTTCTTCCGACTGGCGGCTATTAGGAGGGGTAAAGAGATACAGACACGTTTTTACGTCGCAGCGCGGCAGAGGCAGTCCGCACGTGCGTTCCAGCGGGCCGGGAAACGGCACGGAAATAAACACACGACATCGAACAATTGGTGAGGAATGGACGTCCGAGCGGTGGCAAGAGGCGCAGTGTGCGCGCCGCCAGACCTACCCGCCTTGAGCGCCGCCGGAAGTGCTGCCGCCAGAAGTGCCGACGTCGGTGGCGAGCCGCTAATCCCGGCGTCACGCCGCCGTGCTTTTCCCTCGACACCGTATATGGCGCTCTTTCTGCTCTGGGAGGCGCCGGGGACGCCGGGCTGCGTGAGCTGACTCGCTAACCCCGCTTTCTGCCATGCTAAACCGGACATGGGGCGTCTCGAAACAACCGAGACCGAGGTTTTTCACAGTTTTCGGCCTTTCGGGGCCCTTCCCGGGCCTCGGGACCGTCAGGAACGACTCGGGATGAAAATCGGGGGCGGCAACGAGGGGGGTGATGGCTAGGGGGGGGATACCCTGGCGGGGGCCATGATATTTCCTCACATTTCATGGCGCCTCTTCTTATCTGACAGGCACAAAACTACACTTTGGGCAAGTGGATTAGCTTTTCGCGCGGATCCCAAAATTCCGAACTTACTTTTGCGACATCGTTTTACGTGTTGGTTCGCCGCCCGCCATTCGAGGGGGCCGATCGCGCCTGTCGGATTTGCCGGGGCCTCGACGTCGCTTGCCAGTGTCAGTGTGGAATCAAGGCTTGCGCCTCACGAGTGGATTGGAGGATGAACGCAAGGTGAGTTTTTCAGCTGCGGGGGGGCGCGGGCGTTTGCCGCCACGCAGGGGCCAGGGGCAATCGGGAAACGTTCAGGGAAATGGAGGGCAGCAGGTAGAGGAAGAACGGGGATGGGGGAGGGCAAAGCAGCGCGCGGGAATGGGGAACATAGCGACCAGGCGAGATGTTCTGATAGGGGGAGCGATGTGGGCGGAGGCCGCAGTTGGAATTCCTTCGGATAGCCCTGGGGCGTTCAGACAACTCCGCCCAGAGGCCGGCAGGGTGTTCTGCTGCCCTTGCCTTCCTCCTTTTGCGGGCGGGGCGCGGCGACGCACCCGACCTGTACCCCGTCCCTTTCGCTAGGTGCCGGTCTGTGCGTGCTCGCCCCGCGCGGAACATCGAACGCGTTCAGAATTACATTTAGCCAGGCATTAGGTGTAGTCATGTACGTGCTGGTTTCGGAGGAGACATCCTCACAAATCGGAACACTTATAGAACTACACCTAGCCAGCGGGGCGGGGTGCATGCCGGGTGCCGCCACCCGCGCTCCCAGCGTGCACCGCGCCCTGGCCGCAAAGTGCCGTTCTGTGCGTGCCCCTTTTTCGCGAAGCATCGGTTGCCCGCGCTGCCCATCGCCGAGGCCCCGCCCCCTGGGCCGCTTCCCACCGACAGCCCGCCTCCCCTGGCTCAGCGAAGCCAGCCGTATGCCTTGGGGCCTCGACCTCGCGCAGCCCGCGTCCCCCCCCCGCCTGTGCCCCAGCAACAAATTCGCGATCCGACCCCCCGCGCTTTCGAGTTTTTTTTCGTGCCGGATTCCCCGTCCGAGGGTGAAACGTTCGTTCGTGTTATAGTTTCTCTTGCGGCTGCCGCCAAGCCTCGCCGTGAAACATGGTGATCGCTTCCACGCTTGGCACGCAAAGTCGTCGGCACGACCATCGCCTTCCATCGTAGGTCGCGAGGCAGCGTCCGTCCACCCAGACCGACCGACGCGCCAAATCGAATTATGATTGTCACTTTTGGTCCCCGCAGCACGGCGCAGTTTTGCTGTGTGTAATTATAGATGTGTTCGATTTTGTATCATTACGCCCGTGCCCCCACTCCTGGACCGCGCACATGCCGCAGGCCATGATTTGCGCCCCCCCTCTTGGACGCCCCCTTATTGGCCGCCAGCGAGAAAATACCCGTCCCCGGGAGGCGGTCGGGAGCCCAGGGGCCCGTGTCTCGGCACAGGCGAGCCTCAGGATGTCTAGGATCGGGGAAAAACGTAAGAGTCGAAGGCGCCGGAGCTCGGGTCTGCCGACGTTTTTTGCTGAGCGCGTCCTGGGTTTTGACTGCCCCGTCTTTGTGGGATGTCTGCAGCGGAAGGTCGCGTCAAATTTCGGTTTGGTCTCGTCGTTTCCGCCATGCGAGGCCAACCCAAGCCACCGAACCCGAATCTTACGTCTCCCCGAGTCTAGACGCTTCGCGTAACCCCACCAGCCCATCCAGACACGATGCCCAGGCGAGTTGCCCTGATCAGGGATGCGGAGGATGATGCGGTGGAATAGAGGAGCCGATGGAGACGTCGAACCCCAAGAGGGGGAGGATGGAGGAAAACTCGGAGGAGGAGCAGGAGGAGGCGGAGCAGGATGGAGAGAGGAGAGGGGACGGGGAGGAGGGAGGAGGAAGGAGGAGGAACAAACGGATAATGAAGAGGAGGAGGAGGAGGAGCAGGAGGAGGAGGGCGAGCAGAAAAACCAAAGGCCTCTTGGATGCTCTTTCGGAGTCTATTCGCATTCCTTTTGAAAGTTTCTGGGGGTCCTTTTGGGGCACCTTGGGGGTCTTTCGACAGTCCCGGGAGCCTTTGGGGACCACTTGGGTGCTCTGGAGGGCCTTGGGGTCGCTTTGGAGCCTCTTTGTGACATCGTGGGGGTCTCTTGTGGACACCTCTTTGGGGACGTATTGGAGCACTGTTGGGAGCCTCGGGGGCCATCTTGGGGCCATTTTGGAAGAGATCGGTCGAAGGGGGGGGGGTCCTTGCTCTGGGTCCCCCCCCCAGAAGGCCCAAATGTGGCCACACCCTTAGTAAAATCAGTGAGTTTGACCTCCTTGCCCAGGCCTCCTGGGGCGTCTTGTGTGTGTGTGTGTGGGGGGGGGGGGGGGGGCCTCCTGGGCGCCTCTTGGGGCACCCTTGGAGCCCAGGTTGCCATCTCGAGGCCATCCTGGAGGAGATCGATCAACGGAGGGGGGCTCCATCATCAGGGTCACTCCCGCAGGAGGCTACAATGTGGCCACAACCTTGGTAACATGGATTTTGGCCTTCTCGCCGAGGCCTCTTGGTGCGTCTTGGGTGCCTCTTGCGGGCCTCTCGGGGGTCTCTCGGGAGTATCTTCGGGGCATATTGGGGGCCTCTTGACCTTCTGGGCACCTCTTGGGGCCGGCTTGGGGCACCCTTGGGAGCCTCAGGGGTCATCTTGGAGGTGATCGATCAGAGAAGGAGGGTTCCGCAATTAGCCCCCCCCCCAGCCCCCCCCCACAGGAGGCCCAAACGTGGCCACATCCCAAGTCAAATTGATCATTTGGGCTTCCTCGACGCTCCAACGCCTCGCGAAAGGCTTCGTGCAGACCCAGGGGGAGGGTGTAGGAGGGGTAAACCCCTCTCCTAAGTGGAAGAAGGAAGACGGAAGAGGAAGCTCGCTAAACCACTTACGTCCTGAAGGGCTGGTGGGATTCCTCCCTTCGTCCGCCCTGAGACGCCCACGTGATCAGTAAGCTTTGGGGCGCCTGCAAATGGATTTCCCGCCGGCACATAGCACAGCACCCCTCCCCGGCTCGCGAAGCACGGCGCCCCAGAGGTGCGCACGGAGGGGGGTTGGACTCTGGCAGCAACATTTTCCGCGCATCCAGATTCGCGTGGGGAGTTGGGCTCCTGACTTCGAGTTGTTGCGTCTCGTCTCCCCGTTCCTCCTCCCCCTCCTCCTCGTCGCCCTCCTCTTCCGTTGCTATGTTTAGCCCGCTCGTCGTTTCACCCGATCAGATCCGTTCAACCTAGTGCCAACGCACCTCCTCTCATGTGCACGGATTCTTGTTTGCGTGTTACCGGAAGTTTGTGTGTTGGCCTGCGGTGCCTTTGCACAGAGCCAGCGATGTGCAAACACGTTCAACACGTGGTCCCCGGAGCTCCCGACCCCTGCCTTGGAGTTGTTTTCACGGCCCCAGGGCCCGAAGCAAAATTGCAGGCGCCGACGCCGTGGACAAGCGGGCCGTCAGGATTCTATTGAGGTGAGCGACGCGGGAAAACGGAGTCGTCTGCACGGACATTCGCGCGTAAGTTGGCCGCGCCAGGTCGCGCGCGGCGCGTGCCTCATGCAGGCCACCGCGTGCGGCAGCCACGCCATCTGGCGTGAGGCCCGTTCCCGTTCTCTGCCAGGTGGTCGGAGAGGCCTGAGTGGTTCCCCGGGCCCCCTCTCAGAGGTGCAACGGCGCCGGGGTGACGATGGAGGACGTGCCGACGCCCCTGGGCACCATGAAGCACCGGCAGCAGTGCCCCGCGTGCGGGGGCGGCGGGGTGGACCCCGCGGCCAGGTGCACCGCCTGCCGGGGCGAGGGCACGGTGGAGAAGAAGGGGCAGCGGGTACTCGTCCAGGTCCGCAGGGAGGGGGGGGCCCGAGGGGAGGGGGGGGGGCGAGGGCGGAGGCCACGGGGCGGCGGCGGGGGGTGGAGAAGCCCCCTCCCCGCCCCCGCCGCTGCACGGGCCTGCCTGCCGCACCCTCGGGTCAAGCAGCCGAGGGGCATCCATTGCCTCACCCTCCTCTCTCTCTCTATCCCTCTTCCTGGCCCCCACACCCTCCCCCTCACTGTCATGTTGAGCTTGCTTAGTGCACGGCGCTTGATTGTTGCTCGTGGACCCGTCAGTTTGTCTTATCTTGTCTTGTAAGGCTCGAAGGGAGCGCGCATATTCCCAGGCTTCGGGCCAACTCCTTTTGAGTCGAGTCCCGTCGCTAAATTATCATCGATTCCGTCCTCGGGTTGACGCCTTCGAGCACGGAGGGCATCGAAGCTGGGTCCTGGACGAAGGTCTGGCCCTGCACGAGGGGGTCGACCTCTCCCGGGCCGCCCGCGCATGCGAGCAAATTTCAACCTGCCGGATATCCGGGAACGGGGCGGGTCGAGGCTGATCGAGGCCGACGTGGTCGGTTGGGAGGTTTTGGGGCGTCCCTGGGGGTTCTCGTCTCCACGGATGCACGCGTCTCGGGAAATTGCCCAGGATGGATCTTGGTCAGCGGGCGAAGAACGGTATAACACATTGTTTCCGCCGTCGGGAACGCCTGCCCCTGGGCGGCTCGAAAGTTTATTTTATGCCGTTATTCGCCCGTGAACTTAGGAGGTGTCTGGGAACTCTTGGGCGTCTCTTGGTCGGTGGTTGGCAGATGAAGGGGCGGCCCTGTACGACAGAGCTTCTTGGACGACCCTCCGCCGCCTCCAAAGAGGCCTTGCTAGGACCTCCAGATATCCTCCAAGGAGCCCGCTGCCCTGCTTCTTTAAATGTTGACCATGAATGCATTCTGAATAAATAGGGCCGGGATGTTCGCCATGCGTACTGTTTAAGATTTCATGATACATTTCTATCGGGGAAGCGTAAGACTCCAGTACGCCGGAACTCGGGTTTGCCGATTTTTTGTTTGACGATCGCTTCCTGGATTTTGACGGTCCCGTTTTCGTGGGATGTTTGACGCGGGGGCCCGCGTCAAATTTCAGAGTGGGTCTCGCCATTTTTATGATGGCCCCCGTCAGGCCAATCCGAGTCCCCCGTACCCGAGTCTTACGTTTCCCCGACTATACGAACACCTCTTCGCTTGTAAGGAGGTTTAGGGGGGCGAGGAAACAATGTCTTTTTCAATCGAACTTACCATCGATATCATCATCGATCTTACTATCGAACGCATTATCGATCTCACCATCGGTATCACTGTCGATCTCACTAATTATGGATCTCACTATCGATCTCACTCTCGGCCTCACTGGCGATCTCACACTCGAAGTCAGTATCGATCTCACGATCCCTAGCACCATCGATCACACGGTCGATATCACGATTCATCTCATTACCGATCTCACTATCCATCTCACTACCGATCTCACAATCGATCTCACTGTCCCTGTCGCTATCCCTCTCACCATCGATCTCACGATCACTCTCGCTATCGATGTCACTAGCGATTTCATTACTGATCTGACTATCGATCTCACTACGGGACACCGGCGGGACACTGGCGGGAAACCCAGGGGGCACGCACCCTGGACCACCGCCGGACAACCCCCGGGGGGCGGTCTTTTGGCCTGGCGCGGGCCTACGTAGCCAGAGGAGTTTTCATTATTCTCGCCCGCCCACGCAGTTTTGCCTCGCCCGCACGCACGATATGAACAGGAAGCCGTAACCAAATTCCTGGTGTTGGGCTCTCCGTTTCACTGCCATCTCACCCCCTCACATCTGAGTCACGACCGATGCTCGTCCTCATGTGATCTTGATCCTTATGGCATGTGCTTTTGAGGATTTCCACCTTGCTTGATGCTGGATCTTGGGGTGGTGGCTCATGGTCGATTCCAGTTGCCCGCAATGTATAGAAGCGTTCTGCCCCAACAAGAGCCAGAAGTTCATGCGGCGATGACGCGCCGGCTACGCTAGCGGAGGCATTCAACGTTGACACCGGGAAGAAGAACGATACGTAAACATTGAGCGGCACGGTAGCGCCACGGGAGCCGACAGAATGAATTTCTGAATGATCGGGGCCGCGATCGATTCAAGGTTGACCGATCGACGCGGTGTCAATAATGTTTGCGCGCGCCGATCGCCGACATGGGCCCGACAGCCCGAGCCTGCCCAGGAACGTTCGGACCCAGTATCGGGGGCCTATCGCCGATCTATCGGCTGTGTCTCGCCGATTCCAGGACGACGTGCCCCCCCCCACCCCCTATGCCCTATGCCAGGCCCCCCCGATCGTTGCCCCTCACCAGAGCTTGCCTTGGGTGGGCGTGTTCCTCTTCCCCCTCCTCCCTCTCGCCATCAACCCTGCGGCCCTCCTCTGAGGAGGAAGAGGAAGAGGAGGAGGAGGAAGAGGAGGAGGAGGAGGAGGAGGTGCAGGAGGAGGAGGAGGAGGAGGAGGAGGAGGAGGAGGAGGAGGAGGAGGAGGAGAGGGTGATGATGGTGGTGGTGGTGGTGGTGGAGGGGGAGGACGAAGAGGAGGGGGAGGGAGGTGGAGGAGGAGGAGGAGGAGGAGGAGGAGGAGGAGGAGAAGGAGGGAGGAGGAAGAGCAGGAGGGGAAGGAGGAGGAGGAGGAGGAGGAGGAGGAGGAGGAGGAGCCCCCCTGTCGTTGATCCTCACGTCTTGGTGGGGGCCAGGGCGTCACTCTGGCCGACCGTATATACATACACACGAGCCGGGGAGAGCCGCCCCGCGCGGCGACGGGGGCCTCCAGAAGCTGGCCCCCAGACGTCTCCCAGACTGGACGTTGCCTGATCGGGGGGCGATACATCGGACTGGGCCAGGACTCGGAGGAGAAGACGCTGCCCATGCCGCTCGCCTTCCTCCGTGTTCCCCTCCTCGGGCCTCCTGGGAGCCCCTCCTCGGCACCGCTAGCTGCGCCTTGAAATTCTGGTCAGAGCACACCCCGGGAGAGGTCTGGGGTAGCGGCACCGCTACTTCTTGCTTTCCCCGAGGAGGACGATAGATCCGTTCCAGAGTGGGCGGAGGCCCAATCTATCTTTCACGCCATTTTTATGCCCGTTGCTTCTGAATGGGTGAGTGCAGACACCCTGCCACACAGCACCTGGCATTGCACTACTTGGGCGTCGTACAATAAGGGGGCCGATCAATGTCGAGTAGGGCATCGAATGCAGAATTGAGTAACCCCAAAATTGTTGACGCGTCGCGTATCCCAACCAGCTACCGGCAAGGGACACCGTCTGTAGCCACCTTCCACCACTTCCACCGCACATTCCTCCCCACCCCCCGCCTTGGGTGGGCTTCTTTTCTGATTGCTTGCAGCGATCAGCTGCCTCATATGAACGTTTTGTAGATCTGGTCCGGCTGCTTCGGCACCAGCTCCCCTGGGGCATCGTCTGTCGTCCCTCCCTCCACATGATGTCCGCAAGGGTTCATGTCGGTTGGCCTCGGACGAAAGTGTCCCATCCTTGCCAGTGGCCCCCTTCGCCCAAGGCGTCACGGGCGCCGGCCTCATCACTGTCACCCGCCGCTCCACCCTCGGGCTACTTGATGGGCGGCGCTCACTTGCACGACCTCTCGTGCCGGTCATCCTCAGTTTCCAGTTTCGTGCTCGCGGGGCGCTCGGCGCTGGTCGTGTCGTTTGGCCTGTTGTCCTGCCTGTACGACAAGTTTTGCTCCTGTCTACCCAGCCTTCGGATATGTGCCGTCTGCGTCTTCGAGACGACCTGCTGTCGCTGGTCATGTCGGTTGGCCTGTTGTCCTGCTTGTGCGACAAGTTTTTGTTCTTGTCTGCCCTCGGGTATGTGCCGTCCGCGTCTTCTCGACCGGGTCTTCAGGGGGGGCCTGGCGCTCGGTGCCCTACATGGTCGGCTAGTGGCTTATCGACCTGCGCTACCTGCACACTCTGGCTGCCGGGGCGCCTCGTTTTTTTTTCTCGCGCGATTTTGGCTGCGTTCCCCTCCCGCTCGTGGAGCTCGACGCGCTTCAAGTTTTACAAGTGCGGCAAGGTTGGCTTTGGCTCCCGGGCTACGTGCCACCGCCTTCGTCACGCTCTCCGCAAGCGGCATCTTCGCGGGCCGGGCGGCACTTCTGTACTACCTCGACCGCCTGCCGCCCTGAGTGCTTCGCCCCACGCCGGGCTTTGTTCTCGTCGTGTTTTTCCCTTTGCAGGTTGCACGCGCTACCCTGCTTGCTCGACGTCCGAGTCGTTTCGTGCGCCCGCGGCCCAAAAACTACCCCCGTCAGCCCATCCAGAAGCGATGCCCCGGGGAGCTGAGGTGATCAGGAATGTAGGGGAGCAGGCAGAATAACAAGGGGCGGGGGAAGCCGTCCGAAGTGGTATAGGGAAAGGAGGGGGGAGGACGAGGAGGTGGAGGTTTGGAGGAGGAGGGGGAGGAACACAAAGGAAAACCATGAAAGCCTCCTCGGATGTCTCTTGAGAGTTTTTGTTGGAGACCTCTTGAAACGTCGGGGGGGCAATTTCGGGTGCGTCGGGGGTCCTCTTGAAGCCTCTTGGGGGCCTCTCGGGTGCCTTGGGAGCCCTCTTCGGGCCATCTTGGGGGACATCGATCAAACAAGAGGGTTCCCCAATTACCGTCGTCATTCTAGAGTGCCTCGAATCGCCCTTCGGGCCCCTTTTGGGGCGCTCTTGGAGCGCTCTTGGGCGCTGTTGAAGCTGTTTTGGGGCTCTCTTGGGCCCGTCCTGGGCCCTTCTCGGGCCCTCTTGGAGCCATTCCGAGGCCCCGAATTGCTATCAGAAGCGAAAAGGCGAGAAAACAACAACCATTGATTTTCCATAGGTGTTGGAATGACGTTCGGCTCGTCAGGGCTTCCTTGGGGAGCTCTTTGGTCACTTGCAGCCGTCTTGGAGCTGTCTCGGGGCCTCCTGGTGCATCTTGGGAGCCATCTTGAGGCATCTTGGGAGATATTGAACCATGCTGGACCTTATCTTGGACTCTTATATGCGCTCTTGCAGCCATGTTGGGCCATTTTGGACGCCCCAAGCCCTCGGGGGACCCCCCATCCAGTTCCGGGGGAGTAGGGGGGCGGGTCAAGATACCCACCCGCCCGCAAACCGTATGGCTCACTCCCACCCGCCCCCCCCCAACGCATACGTGACTCCCGAGTTTGAGCATGTTCAGCAGTCGTTTTTTGGATGGGTAGTTACTGGGAACCAAAGCCGGCCCAGGAACGCGACGCTTGGGCGAGGTGCGCCACGCGTGCGCGCCAGGCACCCCTGGGGCCCGAGCGCGCCAGGCACGCCTGGTGCGCCAGATGCGCCACGTGCTCCGAGTGCGCTCGGCGTGCCGCGCACTCGTAAACCCCTCCCCGAAGGGGAAAAGGGGCAAACGGAAGACCAACTACGCCCTAAAGGGTTGGTGGGATTGATTCCCTTGTCGAGTCCGTTAATCTAAGCGTATTTTCCGTCCGAAGAACATTATGCGAACGTTTTTGTTTCATGGTTTCGGCAACAGGCTGTCTGGGCTGAAGCCGTAGCCCGACGGCCCCCCCCTCCCCCCCCCGCTCTGTAGACAATCGGCTACTTCCCCTCCCGGCTCGGCGCGTGGATGCAGGCTGCATGTAGCCCCGATGGATGCTTGGAGCAGGCGGCGAAAACGCAGGCTACGGCGCTCGCGGGGTGCCGGGTTCTTGTTTCGTTTGGTCCGGCGGAGGATCCCGGGGGGAGCCGCTAGGCCCCAACTGGATCCCGAAGGCGATCACCGTCCGCCCGTGGAGCCCCCCTGAGCAGCGAAAGCCAGACGCTGCTGGAGGAGGCGCGCTGCTCCCTGCCGAGGCGAGCGTGTTGTGACGCTGATGCCGGCTCACCAGGTGGCTGCCCGGAAGATGCCAGACCTGAGCCTGCAGATCGCGCGTGCGATCGCCAGGACGGAGCAGCGCGGGCTTCCGAGGGAGCCCCGAGGTCATTGGCGTTGGCGCGCTCGCCGATGCAGGGGGCTGCGAAGCAGGATATCGCGCCCGAGCAGGAGGACATTTCGAAGGAAGCCGTCGCAGGACGCGAGCAAAGAGGCTGCGAATCAGGAGGTCGCGCCAGAGCAGCAACAGATCGTGCAGCCGCAGCTGGACGCGCTAACAACGAAGCGGGAGCTGTTGAAGCAGGGGCTCACGACGCTGCTGCGGTGCGGGGACCAGAAACACATCACGACCAACTGACATAATTCCGTCGTAACGATGCCGGCCTCGGCGGGGTCAGTGTCTTCCTCTGCCTTCACGATTCCGGCATCGATTGGTCAGTTTGCGAGTCCGGTGGGGCGTCGCCGCCGATGGGGCCCCTTCAGGCCGCGGAGTTGACGCCAGACAAGATCATCATGCACGCGGACGATGCGCTGCTGCTGTTTACCACGAGTTCGCTCCTGGGGCGCGGGCGCCGAGCTCAGCGGAGGCGGGCGTGGAACCCCGGCTGGAGGGGCAGAGAGGACTGCCCGCATCGCCGCCGGAGCCGGAGCCGGACTTGGCGAGCGAGCTGGACTGGAACGACCAGATCCTTTCAGGGTTCTGCTCCCCCCGACGATGTACCTGTGCAAGGACGGCCACAACATTCGACGAGGCGGAGGCCCCCCTCTGTTGGACCTCGTAGACACGTGGTGGGAGGGCGCCTTTGTCTCTATCGGACTGCCCTCCACGGAATTCTTCCCGCAACAGGTGCCCCAGGAGGCGCCTCCTCCTGCCAGCGTCGTCGCGGCCGAGACGGAGCCACCTCCCCTGATCCACTGCGCCATGGCTCGTGCGCGGCGGCGGAGGCCGCGTGCGCGAGTGACCGGTGCCCGACGTCGCCGCGCTCGCGCATGGCGTACCTTGAGGCGCTGACGGTCCTACGGGCGTTGGCCGGGGCCCTTGGCGCGGACCCGAAGGTCGCCTTGAGCCTCCTGGGCGCCAGCGCGCAGGTGGGCCAGGAGGTCGGCCTGGCGCGGGTAGCACAGCTCTTTCGCGAGCGCCTGGCTGGGTCTGCGGGCTTATCGCTGGGAGCCTCCACGCGGGTCTGACGGTGAGGCGCGCTCGCGAGGGCGTGTCCGCGCAGGGCGCCGCCGGGAACTTGCCGCCCCGCCGAGGTGGGGCCACCGCCCTCCGGACGCGCTTGGTGCGGGCTTCAGGCTGCGCGCGCATCGTTCGCTGTCGTCCTCTTATCGTTTGATTTTGCCTTACGTTTCCAGTTTCGTCCTGCACCCCGCCTTCCAGCTCCGCTTCTGCTTCGACGTTGTGTACTTCATCTGCAACATTTCATACGCCAGGAGCCCATGTCCTTTTTTCCGCTCTTGCTCCGATGGTTCTCGTCACGCTCTATGTGGACTGTGCGGGCAGCCCTTCATCCTGCATTGGGGACGTTATGCGTCTCCGTTAACGAATGGGTGGATGCACATGTTCGGGTGTGTGCCATTCGTCGTCTAGACCCTACGAGGCCTCTCGCATTTTGCTGCTGCTGGACACAGGGGCACTGACGCTGACGAGCTGTTCGACGACCTCTGGCGTTGGGCTCGTTCGGTGGCGCTCGCGCCTCCAGCCAGCCTTCCACACCCTGGTCCCGAAAACCATCGACATCGCTGCTTGGGGCCAGGCCGCAGCCTCGCACTTTTCTTGTCGTTTTGCCTCGTGTCGTCTCGTCTCGTCGTTCTGTCGCCTCCCCTCTCGTTTCCTGTCCTCCCGCTTTGTCGTTTCTGCGTTTTGGGTTCGTCGTTGCTTCCCCCATCGGCCTCGTCATCCTCCTCCTCTCCCTCGTTCCCACGTCGCCCTCCTCTTGGAACAAACAACCTAAATCCATCGCGACGACAGTCGGCGGGCTGAAAAAAACAGTAGCCTCGGCGAGAAAATCACTTATGGAGGAAATGAATTCTGTCGTCGATCCCCTAGTCGAGTTTGGGGGGGACAGCGAGGGCGGCAGAAAAGGCGCCCCCCAGGGCCCTCTGGAGAGCCCATAAGGGGACCTTGAGGGCCCGAGAAGTGCACCTCCCCGCCCCTTCCTATTCACCTGCCTCCCATCAAGCGGCGCCCAACTCCCGCTGGGCGTTGCTAGATGTGGGGGGGACGCACTGGGCGGTGTCAGGACGATGATGGATCCGTTCCAGGGCGTTCCAGAACGTCCCCGGGGGGCTCCAGAACTCTCAGAGAGGGCCGCGTCGCCGGAATCATCCCGTAGAACCGCTGGAACTCAGCGACTCTTGCTTCATCCTAGCCCGAGCGTGTCCTCGTCTTGGCTTCGTCTTACCTGAGGGGGCCCTCTGGGGCCCCAAAGGGCACGAAAGGTGCACGCTCTTTCCCCCCATGTATCCCCCTCGTTGAGCACCCCCCAACCCCCACCACGACTCGGAAGGGGGTTGATGTGTACGCCACGCTCTTTTGGTCTGACAGGGGGCCACGTAGTCGGCGAAGAGTTCGGTGCATCGACGCTCCCGCGCTTGACAGGTTGGGAAGCGGGGGCGGCTAGACACCGAAGTCCTTTGGGCGACCAAGCGGTTTGGTGTATACTTCGAGTTTCTCCCAACGACGACGTGGAGGATGTCGTCGGCGGCGTGGCCGTCCCTCGCCCACAATGCCGGTTCGGCGTGCCCACCAACAGGTCCCCGCGGGGTGCTCCGATGGCGACAAGCTGCGAGTTCGCGGCGAGGGCGACAAAGGGGCGCGCGGCGGCAGGTCGGGGGACTTGTACATCGACGTGAAGGTTCTGGGTGCTCCCAAACGGTGCGGTGACCTCGTCGTGTGGTGATTTCTCTGGAGACAAGGCCCCCGAGGCCCCAAAACTCCCTGTGGTGACGGACCATTCTCTTTCGGGGTGTCGAGGTCACCGCACGGTTTGTCCCCGCACCGCCCTAGGATTCCCGCAGCACGTAAGAGTGATTTTTCGCCGGAGGGCTCTCGGACGTTTTCGTCGGCGGTTGGGGGTCTCCGGCCTCGGCATGGTTCCTTGCAGCAGCGCTTCGCCGAGAAGTTCCCCGAACCGTCCCAAATTGTGCAGGGTGCCCGGATCGTCCCGAGCGGCCGCTGGAGACCTTAGTTACAGTCAACCATGAGAGTAAGGAGGGGGCAATTTTCCAAGGCTACCCTTGCATGCTTGCCCCTACGGTATTCGGCATCCTGCGGCATTCTGCTGCGCTCCGCACGGGAAACGTCAACATGGCGTTCCAAGGCCCTTGCATCCTTACCGCGCACCCTTGCTTTCTTGGTCGAGTATGGCCTGGAAGCCGGGGGCGCCCTCCGTGTGGGCCCACAGGTGCCCCCCAATCGCTGCACGGGCTTCGGTGGCAGCGGCTCGATCGCGTGGATTCTCCCCCTCCCCCACCCGTGGTTCCCGTCAAGCCGCCGCGCCAGATACCATTTTTGCCCAGAGGGCAACTCTTGCGTGCAGTTTTCGGTGCGGGCGAAAGGGGTGGGATTGGGGCTGCGGAAATTGATGGTCCTGGTTGCGTGAGCTGGTCCGCCACCCCTCCTTGTTGGGGAGCCTCCCTCTCGTCCGACCCGGCTGTGGCCCGAAAGGTGGCCCCGTCCGAGGACTTCCACCGCGAGGGGTTCGACATAGGGAGCCAGAAACCTGGTGCTGCCACAGTCAGGAGGGGGAAAGTACACACACAGACACAAGTAACCGTCGACTCCCAGGAAAGACTGCAAAATCTGGGAAGTGGGGGAGGGAAGACGAAGACCGAGAATCTATGGGCACATTTGAGGAGTCCTGGGATGTGTGTCTAGTTGTTTGTGTGTCTTTGGGCCTTCTCGCACAGCGCTTCCCTGCCTCCGGTGGGAGCGCCCCTTGGGGCCCCTCTGGGCCTCGTGCGGGGGGTGCTCTCTGGAGGCCTCTCAGGGGCTTCTACCTGGAGATCCCGGGTCGGCGGCGAGCGAGGGCGGGAGGCGAGAAGGAGAAGGCCTTCTCAGCAGGCGGCGGGGCCTCTCAGAAGCCCTTGCGCCTTCTGAGAAGGTTTCGGCGTCTTCGGGGAAGGCCGAGGGCACTTCTCAGAAGAAGGCCGGGGGGACTTCCGCGCCTTCTGGGAAGGCCCGCCCCCTCTCGCTTCCCAGCCTCTCCTCGCTTGCCTCAGCGCCCACGTTTCGTTTTTTTGCTGTGGCCTAAGCTACATAGCCTGGTGCTCCCCCTGGACTCCTGGCAAACTCGAATCACGGCGCGCCTCTACGCCGCGTTACTACTACCTCGCTCGCCGCCGCCTGTCGGGGGCGGCAAAGAGGGGGTGATGACTATGGGGGGTGGATATCATGGAGGGGGCCATGATACTTCTCAGATTTCATGGCGCCTCTTCTTATTCATTGCGTCCGTGGCTCCCCCCCTGGGCCGCGCAGATGCCATGGGCCATGATTTGCGCCCCCCCCCCCCCCCCCTCTTGGCCGACCTCGATTTATGCCGCGCCAATATTGCCTCGCTCACCGCCGCCTGGGGACGCCCTGGGACCAGGCGCGTCCTCCTGGCAGCGCCCGGACACGCCCCTGCACTGGGCACGTCACAAACGGCCCCGTGGGCGCTCTCGCAAGCGGCCGCCTGGCGCCGGGCCTCTCGCCGCGTCCCCGCGTCGGGCGCCCCCCTCCCATGGTCGGGGGTTCGCGGGGGGGGGGGAGGGGGAGGGGGAGGAGGGAGGAGGAGGAGGAGGAGGAGGAGGAGGAGGAGGAGGAAGAGGAGGAGGAAGAGGAGGAGGAGGGGTATCGCAAGGTGGGTTCGTCGAGGGAACATGAGCCTCAGAAGTAGAATAAGCTTGTGTATACCGTATTCCTGTACTTCACATTGCGCGGAGGCTTCCAGTATGCTAGACGAGTTCTTTGGGTAATTGCTGGACCGCGAGCGGGCATTGTTTTTGTTTGTTTATATGTTTTGTTTGTTTGGCTTGCTACTTCTTGGTTGTTTGGTGTTGGATTTCCTGGTGTATATATATATATATGTATATATATATATATATATTCTTGGTGGCGCCCATGTATCTGAGTGCTCGGGCTCAGCAATGGATGGGATCGGAGTGGATGGGGTCGGAGGATCGCGCCGCATCGCTGATGCATCGGCGGTGCAGCAGCGATGCGGCCCGATGTGGGGCCCAATTTTCTCCACGCCGGCGTCGCCGATGCATCGCCGACGTCGCCGATGCATCGCCTATGCATCGGCGATGCCTCGGCGATAAATCGGCGATGCGGTGCAATTCTCCGATCACACCTACTCGGACCCCATCTAGGAGGCCTCCAGAAGAGGCGTCGAGTTTGAAGGGTCGATGGTTTACGGTCAAGTCGCACAGTCAGGATGAGCCACTTTCCAATTCTACCTTTGAATGTCATTGCCTCTTCGCCCCATGCTTCGCATCTTTCGCTGGCCTTCCCCGTTGGGAAAGTGTCGGCATGACCTTCACGGCCCGAGCTCACTTACCGCGCATCCTCATCATGCGACCTGGTTGTGCGACCTGTGGTAGACCACTCGTCGCCGCGGATCCTGACCAGAGCGCACCCCAGGTCAGGTCCAGAGGTCGACTACTGACCCTCGAACGCAGGCAGATTTCTGCCCACTGGGAGGAGAAGGAGGAGGAGGAGGAGGAGGAGGAAGGAGGAGGAGGAAGGAGGAGGAGAAGGATGGAGGAGAGGAGGAGGAGGAGGAGGAGGAGGAGGAGGAGGAGGAGGAGAAGGATGGAGGAGGAGAAGGATGGATGGAGGAGAAGGATGGATGGAGGAGGAGGAGGAGGAGGAGGAGGAGGAGGAGGAGGAGTCCTGGAGGAGAGGGAGCCTGGTCGGGGGAAGAAGCATGCTGACCGTGAGCAAGCTGTCGCGGCATCTTGCCGACGTCGGTCTTGGCCATGGTCCATGCTGGTTGTCGCCGACTCGCGAGGATCGTCCACGATGGACGATGACCAAGACCTGGACATGATCGCGTTGGTTTTTGACTATTTTCCGCCCCGGGGGGGCCCGAGGGACGATGACCAGGATCGACACCGAGGTCTCCGCGTTCAGTCTTGGTCAGGGTGTTCTCTCTCGCCAATGCAGGGAGCACAACGTTAGCTGGATGCTCACGCTTCCGCCTCCAACGGGCCGTTTCGAGATTTGTTTGCCCTCCAACCTCTAGACCCACGTCTGCCCCCTGACCCCCCCCACCTCTACGCCCACCCGTCCCCGCGCTTCACGCGCCGAGTGGGGAGAGCGGGACGGGGGTCTGGCGCCAACCGAGGCAGCGCCCGCAGACGCCTGACAGTTTACACCCCAGTCGTTGAAAGTAAGCATGTCTGGATGACCAGGCCCCAGTCTACTTTCGGCGCCTTCCTACTTCAGGGGTCGAGCGGTTTTCCCCCTTCCCTCCTCTGCAGGGGGCGGGGGGAAACCCAACCTACCTCCAACGCCTGCCCATTTCATGTTTCTACCCACATCTTTCGACTGACGGGTACGCGAATGCAGTTTTCTGGCTCTCTGCCGTCTACTCCGAGATCAGGCTGGACATGTACCAGGCGATCCTCGGGGCCTCAGTGGTGGCGCGCACCATCGACGGCGAGGCGGAGATCCAGATACCGTCCGGCACTCGGGCCAGTCAGAACTTCGGCATAAAAGGTGAGAGTCGGCCTTGTCCTCACATCTTCCTCGTCTCCCTCCCCTGGCTGGGCATCATCGCCTCAATGGGCGCGTCAGCATCATCTCGGCTCAGACTCGTTCTGGCGGAGGCGGTGCCCTTCTTGTGCAAAGTCTCAGTTTCGCGTGCCCCCGGCCTGTGAACCCCTGGGGCACCGGCGCAGCAGCGCGATGCGCGATCGCGCCCTGCACCGCTCGCGCGGCATCGTCGTCCTCTGCGGCTGCAGCAGCGGGCGCGATCTTGGCTTCGACCTCGTCCTGTCGTCCAGGCCTGGGATCGCCTTCGTTGGCATCGCAGCAGCGCGCCGCCACGCCGCACTGGCGAGGGCTCCCGAGTAGGCGAGGCGGCGTCAGCTCTTGCTGCGGCGGCGATCGGCGTGGTGGTATGGAGCCACGTGCAGCCACCAGTCTCTCGACCTCGGCCCTTGCCTGTGCCGCCTCGGGGCAGACAGGGTTGCAGCCCAACTGGAGTCATGGCGCGGCCGGCATTGCATGATGATGACGATGATGTTGATGATGGTGGTGGTGGTGATGATGGTGGTGGTGAGATGATGCTGGTGATGATGCTGCTGCTGATGATGACGATGATGCTGCTGATGCTGACGATGATGATGATGCTGACGATGATGATGTTGACGACGATGATGATGCTGATTATGATGAAGTTGATGATGATGATGATGATGATGATGATGATGATGATGATGATGATGGTGACGCTGCTGGTGATGCTGATGATGCTGATGGTGATGATGCCGATGCTGATGCTGCTGATGATGATGCTGCTGATGCTGCTGCTTTAGCTGCTGATGATGTTGATGATGCTGATGATGATGATGATGATGATGCTGATGCTGCTGATGATGATGATGATGATGATGATGCTGATGCTGATGCTGATGCTGATGCTGCTGCTGCTGCTGCTGATGATGATGATGATGATGATGCTGATGCTGATGCTGATGATGATGATGATGATGTTAATGATGATGATGATGCACGCCTTCGCTGCGGCAGCGATATCTTGCAGTGCGTTTTGCTGGTTCTCCTCGCTGCGGCGCTGCTCGTCGGGTCTCTTGGCCTGGCAGCCGCGTGCCGGCGGCGCGCCGCGGCCCGTGAGCGGGTCGGGCGGAGCCGGGGCAGTTTGGGGACGATTGTTCGATTAGTTTTGATTATTGTCGGTTATGTTTGTACTATTTTTCATTTGTTGTCGAACATCCGCATGTAGGGAGACATGCCCGACCTAAAGCAAGATGGCACGGCTGAAGGGCAGCCGATTGCAGAGGCCACAATTTCAAGCAGTGGCGAAGCGTCCCGGCTCGCCCATAAGCCCGCCAGAGAATGTTCTAAGAACTGTTTGTGGTTTGCACGAGATGCTCTTAGAACACTTCTGGCTTATAGAGTCCTGTTTTAGTACGTCGAGTTTGCGTTCTAAAGACATCGCTCTCATTGGGTTATAAGAACATGTCGGTGTAGGCCTAAAGGATAAAGGTCGGCGCCTGCTCAACAAATGGTGAGGTGTTTCGTTCGCGCAAGGTGGCGCTCCACCAGTTGCGCTGGCTCGGGCTCCTGGCGCGGTCCAGCGCCGATCCTAGCAGTCCGCGTGGAGCTTCGGCAGCGTGAGTTTGTGCATTTGTGGTGATTCAAGGGGTACGCGCCATTTCGCCGACCCCCTGATCAGGAGGCAAGCCCATGGGAGCGATCATGTTGAGGAAGGAGCTGTGGTGGTTCCGTTTTGCGTAGCTGTGTGGGGCGCGTAATGAGCGGCGGGTCACTCGGAGAAGTTATCACACACACACACACATAGCAATCAGTACGTGTCCACAGATATTGTGCCGTCTACGCGTTCATGTCAGAACGCGGGGCTGCTTTTTGTTGAGGGTGTTCGGGATGCATGCGGGTGCTCCAGCTTTTGGAACTGTTTTGGGGCCTTTCTTGGAGCTGTGCTGCGGCTGCGTGGGGAGCAGACGGCGTCGGCGTGCGCTGTTCGACCTGCTCGCACCCATGCTCGGCCGGCCTCGGCGCGGGGCTGGCGTTGCGGCTCTGGGACCGCGCTGGGGGTGGCGAGGGCCGTTCCCGCGCGGGCCGCCGGGGTCCAGCAGGACTGGCCCAGGCCAGGGTTGGCCCCTCTAACCGTGGCCGCCGTCGGCCGTCCTTCTCGGTGGTGATGCCCGCTGGCTTTAAGTCGGGCATGGCCTTCTACAGGAGGAATATGCAAGAATAGTGAAACATAGTCATGAGACCATTTGTTGTACCATAGTTGATCATTAATCTGTGCTTGTTTGTAGGGGGACATGCCGAACCTAACGCTGGCAGCGCCTCACGCACCTGCCCCGCGCCTGCCCCTCGGCGGCTGCGCCGCCTGCGCGGCCGCGGCGGAAGTCCGAGGAGGACAAGGTAGCGAGGCCGCTGCCCTGGCCTCGTTTCCCCTGCTTGGGCCGCCAAAGGGGGCCCTCGTCGCCTCTGGTGCTTGCGCCTCGAAGTGCTGGTCAGAAGACAACGGACCCCAGGAGAAGTCCTGGGAGCAGCTGTGTCGATACCAGTCGTTTTCTTATTCATTATTTTGCCGATCGGCGCGGGCCCTCGCACCCCCCTCGCCCCCCATGGAGTAGATCTTGGCTGTTTGGGGCGCCTGTTTCAGGCAGGTGGAGTCTCCTCCATTGGACGCACTGCTGCAAACAGTCGTACTGAGCAGAGGTCCAGATCAGACCCCTCCTCTTCCCCCCCCTTTCCGCCCAATTTCGAAGCGCCGAATAAGAACACGTTCGCATATATTTATGTTGCACGAGGAAGGGCGTCGAGCGGCGCTGGCAGGGGAAGGGGCCGTGGACAAGACCAGGGGCGGCGGAGCGGCAAGGGGCGTCGAGCGGCTCCGGCTTCACCCTCTGGGGTGTGCGACGAGGGCGGCCGACGAGTGGGCTGCCCGTGCGGCGCGGTCCCGGGGGGCGCCGAAGGCCACAGGGCAGGGGCCAGAGGCAGTGGCGTGGAGGGCCTGGGCCTGCCCACGGCGCTGGGCGCGGAGCCTGCGGCGGCGGACGTGGGTAGCCCGCCGAGGCAGTCGTTACCCATACATCTGCCCTTCGCCCGTTTTCTCTTCCTTGGGCCTCCTGGGAGGCCCTCGTCGCCACCGCTGGATTCGCTTCGAAATTCTGGTTAGAATGCACCCCGGGGAGAGGTCCAGGGGGTAGCGGGATCGGTGCCTAGTGGTTTCCCCAGTGGCGGCTGGGACGAGGCGCGTGGCCGCGCTCTTTCTGCGCACGGGCACCGCGGCCTCGGCGCAGGCGGCGGTTGGCAGCGCGGCAGCGGCGTCGGAGGCCGCGATCGCGGACGTTCAGTCCCGCATTTGGGGCCTGTGAGGGTTCTGGCTCCCTCTCCTTCCTTCTCTTCCTCACCTCCTCCTTCCCTGTACAGAGTCCGCTCGGCGCAAAAAAATCATCACCATCATCATCATCATCATCATCATCATCCATCATCATCATCATCATCCTCATCATCATCATCATCATCATCATCATCATCCATCATCATCATCATCATCATCATCATCATCATCATCATCATCATCATCATCATCATCATCATCATCATCATCATCATCATCATCATCATCATCATCATCATCATCATCATCCATCATCATCATCATCATCATCATCATCATCATCATCATCATCATCATCATCATCATCATCATCATCATCATCTTCATCTTCATCTTCATCTTCATCTTCATCTTCATCATAGCCGCAATCATCGGATTCGTCATCGAAACCGTCGCCGGCACCGCAGTTTCTGCCGCCGTCGTCATCGTCATCGTCATCATCATGTGCATAGTTTGGGCTGCCCTCAGGCACGCAGCCCGACGCTCAGATACGTCTCAAGAGGCGCGGGGTTCCGAAACTGGGCCGGAAGGGGCTGCGCGGAGACCATTATCCTCAAGGGCTTCTGCCAGTCCGACAGCCTCCAGAGGAAACCAGACTGACGACGACGAGCAGGAGGAGGATGAGGAGGATGTGGAGAGCGAACACAACAGCTCGAAGGGGGAGGACAACGTGATGAGTAGGAGAACCAGGACGTGGAGGTGGAGGAGGGAGAAGGGGCAGGTGGAATGGGGGAAGGAGCACGAGGAGGAGGAAGAGCAGGAGGAGGACGACGACGACAAGGAGAAAGTTGCGGGGAGCGAGCTTGAGGTTGAGTCGGCGGAAGAGGAGTCCCTTTTGACGTTTTCTGTTGGCAGGCGGGGGTCTCTGGAGGCACTGGACTCCTTCAACATTGGATGGCAGTTTCCTTCTTGTAAGATGCGATGGTCCTCGCTGGGCCTTCGTTCGGGGGTGGCGGACTTCACCGTCAAGGTGGAGCTCCCGCGCGACCTCAGCGCCGCGCAGGTGGACATGCTCGAGGCGATGCGCTCGATGCCCGCCGGCTCGTGACGCGGCCCCGCCTCACGGGAGTGCCGCCGCGCACCGAGTCGTTGGAGGACGCCAAACGTGCAGCAGATCCTGGCGAA